TTTCAGTCTATGAGTTTCTTTTTGAATTAAGTGTGTTTCTTGTATGCAGCATATTGTTAGATCCTACTTTTTGACCCATTCTGCCCATCTTTTTTTTTTGACTGGTGAATTGAGACTATTAACATAGATGGTTATAACCAATACATATTGACTTATCCTCCCCCTTTGCATTTAATGTCTTGTTGTGCCCAATGGATTCATTTGGCTTGGCTTCCTGGGGTTGTGATCCTTGTTGTCTTTTCCTAGGATATTGTCTGAAATTTTTTGGAGTGCTGGTTTGGTATTCATGAAGTTCCTAAGGTGCTCTTTGTCATTAAAGAATCTTATTTCTCCATTAATTTTTAAAAATAGTTTTGCAGGGTACATCAATCTGGATTGGGGGCTGTTTTCCTTTAGGGCTTGAAATACATCACTCTAAGCTCTTCTTGCCTTGAGAGTTTGTGTTGAGACATCTGCAGTGATTCTGATAGGCTTTCCTTTGTATGTGGTTTGTTTCTTTTCTCTAACTGCTTTAAGAATTTTGTTCTTCTGTTGGGTTTTTGGAATCTTAACAATCATATGCCTATGTGTAGATTTTTTAAAATCATGGCTAGTTGGAGTCCTATATGCCTCACTTATCTGTATGTCAAGTTCTTTTCCCCTGCTTGAGAAGTTTTCTGCCATTACTTCTGTGAACAGTTTTTTTTTATGTCATCTGCACTCTCTCCTGTTTCTTCTTTGACTCCAATCAGTCTTATGTTATTCTTCTTTGCATCGTCTAGCAGCTGCTGGATTGATTTCTCACAGTCCCTTGCTATTTAAAAGAAATTTTTCTTTTCCTGGTCAATAATTGGAATCTTATCTTCTATATCTGAAATTCTGTCCTCACATTGGCTCATTCTGCAGAGTAAAATTTCAATGGAGTTTTTGATCTCCTGGAAATCTGTTTGCATCTGTTTTATGGATTCCATTTGTTTCCTATGTTGGGATTCCATCCTGTTCCTCAGCTCCTCTATTTTTTTGTTTGTTTGCTTGTTTTGGTACCGGGGATTGAACTCGGGACCTTGCGCTTGTGAGGCAGGTGCTGGAACCACTGAGCTAAATCCCCGGCCCTTCCTCTATTTTTTAAAATCTGTGTCCTCTCTAGATTTATTAATCATGTCTTACGCTATGGGCACAATCTCTGCTGTTATCTTAGAAATTATTTCTGATTTCATTTTTTCCAGATCCTCTTTTGTTGCCAGTTCAGGGAGTCCAGGTGGTTGAGTATCAGATTGTTCCATCTCATTTCCCTTTGCGGTTATTTTCGGTGATCTGCAAGTCTGGTTTTGAGACTTGTTTACCTGTCTTCTCATTTCAACGGGGGTGGGAGGAAGGGTTTGCTACTGGTGCTGGCAAGGCTCACCGCCTTGGTGATGGGCGTTGTTCTGGTCCTCAGCGGTGGAGCAGTGGTATGGAGGTCTGGAAGGCCTAATATATCTTGATTCATATTTCCCCTTTCCCCTGCCCTCCCTCCAACACTGCACCCCTCCCTATTTACAAACACTTTGCTTCCATTCTTTTCTCCCATTTATTCCTTTTCCTTCTTTCCCATGCCCTACCCCTCCCACTTCCCCTTTCCCTTTGGACTTTTTCTTCTTTTCTTCAGATTACCTATTATACATTTTGATCCTTATTTACACATTTTTTAGGGTCAATATAATTTTCCACAACATATTCCAATTTCCAAAAGATCTGTATTTGCATTATCATACAGAAAACTGAGATTAATTAGAAAATAAAAAGTAATAAATTTTAAACATCTTTTTTTCCTAACGGAGTGTGGTACTACAAGCTTGGAGTCCAAGGATTCTGGGATGCTGTGGCAGAATATTCTGGGATGCAGGATACCAGGTTGACAAAAACTTCGCAAGTTGGGGAGATCCTGCCTCAAGGTAAAACAATTTTTGAAATTACTGTGAGTGTAGCTCAGTGGGAAAACTCGGTTCAATTCCTAGGACTGCAAAAACATAAATAAATAAATAAATAAATAAATAAATAAATAAATAAATATCATTTAAAAAAAAATGAATATAGGCTAAAATGGAAAATAAAATAAAAATCTTTTTTGTTATGCTAGTTACGTGAAGGCCATCTTGCTGGAGCAAATGCAGGGATGCTGGTAATGGTGCTGATCCAAATAATGCAGATCTTCTGCTAATATACAGGCTCAGTAGAGTGCTCAGTAGATTCCAGGCATTATTCTAAGGAAATTATCTATTCATTCAATTTTGCACTATGTAAAGTTCATGCTGTAAATATGCATTTATAATCTTGTGACAGAGAGATTGAAATTCTAATGCGTTAATTAATTTGTTGCTGAAAACAATCAAATATTAACTAAAGAAAATATCATGATTTTGAAATAATATGGGCCTAACTGTTGGTATGACCTCAAATTCAAACAACACTAATTGGAAGAAATCTGGAGTGGATATTAAACAAAGAAATCAACCAGAATGATATATTGCTACAAGGATTTTAAAAGAAAGAAAATATGTATCCAATCAACAAAAATGTACTTTATTCAGTAGTGAAAGAAAAGTTACAATTTCTCAGGTGGTAGGAATCCCTGCCCAGGTGTCACACAAGGAAGTCATCATCTAATGGAGACAAGGAGATGATTGCTGCTCTTCCTTCCTAAGGGCTGGGATTCAAATAGAGCTGAGCACGTCTCCCCACAGCATGCAAAGAGTTGCTTAGCTGCCAGGAATCAGCACAGGCAGATGGCAGGATAAAGGATTACAGGATACATGACAGATTTGAAACAAAGAGGAAGGTGCTGCTGCAGAAGGAGTTGAGCCAATTTTCCTCATCTTTTCATGATTCTGATAAATCCCAAAGCTGTTTCTTGCTCTTGGGTGGGTAGCACTCAGGGCACTTTGGTGGTGGGTAGGGCTCAGGGCACTTTGGGGGTGGGCAGGGCTCAGGGCATTTTGGAGTTATCACCACAGGAGGTGGCTGCCAGGGCTGCTTGCTCTGCTGCTGTTGATAAGACATCTTTCTGGAGTCTCTGGATCTGAAAAATTACATGACAGTGTTCAGAAGAAAGGACTCCCATAGAAAACATTGGAAAAATCTTATATACTAGCAGAGCATATTATTTATATATATTATATATATTATATATTATATATATTATATATATAATATATATTATTTCTCTCTCTTACAATATTCTTGAGTCTCAATTCTCTATTCTCTAGTGGCTCCTCCCTCTAGAGCATTTACTTCATCAGGTTTGAGGAAAATCATCTTTTACCTTGTGCCACTTCAAAGGAAATATCTCTATTCCAAGAACCCAGTAATGTTATTTGGGTGAAAATAACATCTCCAAGAAAGGAAGACACTGGGTACAGACCAAAGGGCCCTTGAGGAAGAACTGAAGGATGTCATGACTGCTAAGCCACACATGTTTTTTGTTTTGTTTTGTTTTGGTATCAGGGATTGAACTCGGGACCTTGCACTTGCAAGGCAGGTGGCAGAACCACTGAGCTAAATCCCTAGCCCTGCCATACATGTTTGAAAGGACCACGGAACAAATATGGAAACGAAGAAGATATTTTATTCTGTTCTAATTCAAAGCAGACATTCCCTGTCATGTTCTTTTTCCATGTGGACATCAAACTATGTACCAAAAAAGCAAAAATAAATTAATACATTATATCATTGTATAAGTCATAAGTTTCATCGAATAAATCACATTCATCCCATGTTCATATTTGGATCCCACCAAACTTGTTGTGTCCAGATTAAATTCAATCCCTGAGAAGACCAGAAGCAGGCAAACTCAAGAGGTCAGGCTCAGCGGGTTCTGCAAAGCAGATTGGGCCTCCAGTACCAGGAGTGCACTAGTCCTGTATCACAGGGACTCCTGCTGCCCCACCTAGAGGAAGTGGAAGTTCCAAACGCTGGTTTACCCCAGCAGTTTCCTAACAGAAATGCAAACTCATTCATAACTGGCTTCACAGGAACTCTGGAAAATAGGAAATCCACTGTCCCAGCATCTCCTTGTAAATGAAGTTCTGGTGACTCAGAGGCCCTACCACCTTAGCACTCAGTTTCAGTTAACTGATGCCTGCTGGAGAATTTGGTGGATTCTGTAACCGTCAATCAAAGCTCTCCCCTTGATTTCAGACAATAAGGACTTCCTGTCCTTCAGCTTCCTTGCATCTGAAGACTGCTTGATCTATTTGTTCTACTTCAACCCATTTCTATCTCCCCTTTCATCATACAGTGTGCCAGGGGGATGGAAGTAAGAGAGACCTAAAAATGCCCTGAGCTGGGGTCCCCGTTCTGTCTGTAACCAGCTGAGTGTCCCTGCAGCAGGCCACATCTCCTGCCTGGTCTGAGTCTTCATCTGTGAGCAGAGCAAAGTAATTTCTGCTCTCAGAGTGGTGCTATCATCATTGGGCTGCCTGTGGACCTGTGGGAGCCTGAAATTTTTCCTCTACCTCCTTCTTTCATGCAAGTGATTCCAAATTTGACCCATGTTTTTGCCTTTTTAAAGCCTTCTTTTCTCCACTTGTAGATGTACTTTTTTCCTACGAGAGATTTTGGTTTCAGAGACCAACACCCTCAGTACTTTTCTCCTTTCTCAAGAATGCATACTTTAGTTTCCTTGATTTTAAAAAATGTACTCAATCACCACTTTTAAGAAACTACGAGATGTAAGTAAAGATCACAAACATGCATTCTAAACTTACTTCTTGAACGACACTGATGTGCTCCCCTTGATACTCCTTCCAGTACAGAACAAGTTCCAACACTCACAGCACCTCATGTAGATAATAAGAGTAAGTTTGGAGAGGGGTGAGGTCAACATATTGTCAAAAATTGGGATAGAGGTATGAATCAGGTCGATCTTATATGTTGGCTTACTGTCACACTCTTTCCAAAGAGGTTTTAAATCTGTGAAGTTCATTATTTTTTCTTAACACTCATTGCCTAAGTTTTTACCTTCTGCCCTCTCCATAAGCTCCAAGCCCTCTCTCCTTGCTATTTTCCTGACTCCTCAATGCATCTCTTTTATTTGTCCAATTGTTCACATCTTTGTCGCTCAGGACATACTGTCAGTGCACTCAGGGGCTAGTTCTTTCACCTTTTTTCAACTGTTCATGTAATCAGTAAGGCAGACTAAATCTTGTGAACTGAACATTTTAAAGAGCTTCCTTGTCTTAGCTGAGTAATCGGGTGGCAGCCTACAAATGTGGCTTTCTAAATGGAGAAGGAGGAAGAAAAGGAAGATGAGAAAGAAGAGGAAGAGGAAAAACTCAAAATCTCTGCAGCAGTCACCAGCCATGCTGGAGAGTCTACAGGAGCACTAACTCACTGCAGGCTGGAGTATGCTCAGCATGGAACGGGAGATGCCTAGAATCGTCATGGCTCCTTACAGTAAGGAAGCGCCCTTGGTCCAGATTTCACCTGGCTGTGACTCTGCAAGGACAGAGGCCAGGTGTTTACACATAGTGTCACCAGTGCATGGCTCCTGTTGAGTGTTACACGTGCCAATGGTGAAGGGCATTTAAAGGGACTTTACTCTACAGGTTTCTCACTACTCCTCAGAACCTCCCAGCTAAAACACAAATCCTTAAAGAAATGCCTGATTTCTATCATCCAAAATGTGAGAATTAGCTGGCCAAATGTGACTCCTGTCAGATAACATTTTGGTTACAGCTCAAGACTCTTCTCTGGATGTAGCACACTCAGGGGAGCTGTTTCTCACGACAGTGGAGACACCAAAGTCAAGGCAGCTGAGGGCACCTCACAGTTTAAGGTAGAGATCTCAACACTCTGAGTTCCTTACAGATGAGCTGCAAGAAGAGCTGCCACAAGCTGAAAACGGAGTCTAACAGTCAAAGTTCCTCCGAGTTCAAACATCCAGGACTCGACACAAGAACACGTGGTTATTCACACCTGTGTACACGCACACACACACACACACACACACACACCATGGGTCTTATATGTCTGTCTGTCATCCATTTATCTGTCTATCTGTTATCATTGTACACATCCAAGGAACTTAGTTTTATAGTCTTTAAGTGTCGGACAGCCTTTGTTTCAATCCTACTACTTCTACTTCCTGATGTTCAGATGATTGTACCACCTATCAATACATATGGAAAATGACACGAAAGAACTTTTCTATGTTTTTCAATATTTGACTTAGTTTATCCCACTTTTTGCTACCATCTGTTATATAGCATTAAACAAAACAGTCCCTACAAATGAACATGCTGTAACAATACATGTGAAAAATCAATATAAGGACACAGAAGTTGTGTAAAATTTCCCTGCCATGCGCAGATAAATGGAAACCACTGTGGCTTCCTCTGCTCTGCTTTTATTCCTCAATGTGAGGCTCAATCATCCAGTCCTACACTTGTTGAATCCAATGCACTGCAAGACACATTACATTGTATAATTCTGAAGATGAATGAAGAAAATATGTGAGGAAATGAATAGTATCAATATACTCAAATTATAATAAAACATTTTAAAACATGATGAAATTTTAAAACAAATATTTATGAAAAAATAGTTAATAAGTATAACAATTTCTGAAAAAGTTATATTTGGTTGATATAACTAAAAATATGTTTTTATTTCCTATTTTCCTTTCCAAATCATGCTCTACCTAAATGTCCATAAATGACAGTCAGGAAGAAAATCTGGTAAAGGAGCCCAGTGAAATATCATTTGGCTATAAAAAGAAGTCCTACCATGTGTGACAACCAGGATAGACCTAGATGACAACGCCCTCATGAACAAGGTATAGAAAGACCAATGCTGTGTGATCTCCTCACAGTTGGAATCTAAAAATGTTAAAAATTAGCCATAGTATAGTGGTTTTCATATGCTGGGTAGGGGTGTAGGGAGCACAGAATGGGAGAGGTTGCTCACTGAGTATTAGCTTAGAGGTTGGAGAAATATGTTTTCATGTCCTATTGGACTATAAATAACAATAATGCATGGTATATTTCAAAAAGGTGATAAGAAAGAATTTTGAACATTTTTAACACAAGGAAATGATAAAGGTTCTAGTGTCTGGGTGATAGATATGCTTACCCTGATTTGAATATTACACAATGTATACATGTATTGGAATGTCTCACAGTACCCCATAAATACATACAATAAAATAGAATACCATTCAACTGTAAAGAATGAAGTCCTGACACACGAGATAACATGGGTGAATCTTGAAAACCTTACATTAAGGGAAATAAGTGAGATATCAAAGGATAAATACTGTGTGTTTCCACTTTACAAGTTAGCTAGAATGGTCAAGTTCATAGAACACAAAGTAGAGTAGAGGTTATCAATGGCTGGGGAGAGGGAAGGGTTGGAAGTTTTTCTTTCATAAGTGCAGTGTATTTCTCTGGTAGAAAAGTACATTGAGGAACAGCTGCTGAAGCAGATCCCAGGATTAACATGATTTCAGGAGGACACTTCAGCACCATAAAGATGAAGTGGCTGGTGACATCTTCGACTTGCTACTCACCTTGAAGGATATTCCAGCTTTTAAAGAAATGTTTCTGGACCACAGAGCAGAAAAGGAAGCAAGGGTACGGGAATTAAGCAGTGGCTTAGTGGTGACATTGTTGTGCAGATCATCTAAGGTGCCAGCTTCCCAGAGCTATCTCAGCACTGGGTAATGAATGGATCACTGTGGACCCCACCAGCTCCTGAGGCTCAGAGAGACCTCAGCTGAGGACAGGAGAAGAGGGCATCTCGGGAAGACTGGCTGCTCTGTGCCCTTCAAGCATGTAAAGTATTGATGGTCACAGACATGGCCTGACCCTTGTGCCCCGTTTCTTCTGAAACACCGTCCTGTATTCAGTAACCCTACTGATTCTCCCCGTGTGGACACCTGGCTCAGGTGCTTCTCAGTCAGGCTGCTCTGGCACCAGCCTAGGGCCAGCCATTGCCCTCGGACACTCCCCTGTGCAGGTGTGTGCTGATGTGGCTGTCAGCAGCATGGAAGAGGCCACTGT